GTTGTAATTTCCTCAAGGGGTAATGTAGCTACCGTGAAGTCATTAAGGAAAGTGTATTTGAGGCACCAACTATGACTTTTTTTTAAAGATTTTATTTATTTATTTGACAGAGATCACAAGTAGGCAGAGAGGCAGGCAGAGAGAGAGAGAGGAGGAAGCAGGCTCCCTGCCGAGCAGAGAGCCCGATGTGGGACTCAATCCCAGGACCCTGAGATCATGACCCGAGCCGAAGGCAGAGGCTTAACCCACTGAGCCACCCAGGCACCTCACCAACTGTGACTCTTGATACAATTTTTATTTTCAGCAGCATTTATTAAGTGTCTACTGTGAATCAGCTGCATGGACTCTAGGGGGATGCATACTTGCAGACAGGTTGATCTCACTTTTTTTTTTTTAAGTATATTAGTAGTGGTGTAGCACCCACTCTGTTCCAGGCACTGTTCCAATTGCTTCCATACCGTAACTAACTCAATCCCATTATACCCATTTTGTAAATGAGGAAACTAGGGCATGGAGAGATTAAGAAGCTTGCAGAAGTCACACTGCTTGTAAATAGTGGAACTGGGCTTCAGAACTGCCTAGTCGTTGCTAGGCTTAGTTTCCTTGTCCTTCAGCAGACATTTACTGGGTCCCTTCTATTGGCAAGGGGTTGAACTGGATCATTTCTAAGACTCGGTAATTCATCAGGTACTTCCTGAGTACCTACAATTGCCAGAGGATAGAGGAGTGAATGAGATGAAAGTCTCTGCTCTTGTCCAACCGTCAGTCAACACATAATAAGTTTTTAGATAATGATAGTCTGTGACTAACATAAAGTCAGGGAAGGGACTGGAAAGTGATAGAGGGGTGCAGGGATCGTTTTCGATTTTGTGGGCTGAGAAGGCCTCCCTGAGTCCACGTCATTTGAGCAGAAACTTATTTGAAAAGAGAAGCCAAGGGCTCCTGGGTGGCTCAGTTGGTTAAGCAACTGCCTTCGGCTCAGGTCATGGTCCCAGAGTCCTGGGATCAAGTCCCACATTGGGCTCCCAGCTCCATGGGGAGTCTGCTTCTCCCTCTGACCTCCCCTCTCATGCTCTCTCTCACTCTGTCTCTCTCTCTCTCTCTCAAAATAAATAAATAAAAATCTTAAAAAAAAAAAAAAAAGAAAAGAGAAGCCAACCACATGGAAATGTGAGGGGAGAGGAGTGATCCAGGGAGAGTGGCAGCAAACAGGGGAGCCCCGAGGTCTAAAAGGGCCAAGCCCTGCATCCGGAGCGGGATGAGCTAGGGGAGAATGGCAGTGATGAGGTCAGGGAGAATATGAGGCCCCGTTGGCCGTTACGGGTTATGGGAGGGAGTTTGGGTTTCCTTCCGAATGTGATTGGATGTCTTGGAGAGTTTTGAGCAGGGGAGTGGCATGCTTTGATTTTTCAAAGAGCTCTTTGGCTGCAGGGTGGAAGCCTGACTGTAGGGCAGCGAAAATGAAGCAGGAGGCTTTTGTGTTGCACCAAGGATTCTCAGTTCTTGCATCCTGTGATTCATTCTGGTTAGGAAGGTGCTGCCTTTCCACAGTATCTGCTCGAGAACTTAGGTCTCTTTGTTTAGCACACCTGCTGCTAGAGGACTCGGACCCCTGTCCTTTTCCTCCTATGATTCTCCTATTTTCCCTCCATGTTTACTTCTCATGGGGCCTGTATCTTGAGGGGGGAGTCACTTGGGGGCATAACTTGTATTAAGATCCTCAGGGAAATGTTAGCTTTCCCTGATTGGCTTTAAAATCAGAAGCTTCATATTTACCCAAAAGGATTTATGGCCAGATATTGGAGATATGGGGCGCTGTTTGGTTGGAAAAGCCACACCAAAGGTATTCAGCTTGCTAAGAACCTGAACCCAGCACTAGAAACCTGGGTTCAGTTCTTAGCATAATGATGCCAAGCTTCACTGGGACGCGATGCCTGACCTTCTGGTCTGTCTCCTTCTCCATAGAGATGTTATGTGTCTTGCTAACCTCACGAGCTGCGTGAGCTGCGAAGAAATGAGAACGTGGAAGCATTGTGTACACTTGTGCCATGGAAAGCCCAGCTGGCAGGATCCAGTTTTAGGAAATTGTAGACATTTGTAGGTCATTGGCTGTTTGTATGTGCTTACATGTTGGCCCATGAAACACCCAATAGTAAGGGTGTGAATGTTTGCCTGGTCACACAGTCCTAGGAGGAAAGAATCCTCACTGTGGTAAGATCTGTTTGACTGACTCTCCCCTCCCCTCCCATCCCCTCCCCCACCTCCTCACCTCCCGTGAACTGACTTGAGAACAAGCTAACTTCCCGCTGTCTGGCGGAGACATCTCAGACCTTTGTGTGAGCTGTTTTTGGAAAGTTGTTGGCAGAGGGCCCCAGAGCAAAGGTCAGGCGAGTTGGCTTGGAGTCACAGAGAGACCTGCAGAGACAGACGGCACACACAGACAGGTGCACACCCACCCCCACACACACACAGGTAAACAAGGCACAGTCATAGTAGTCATAGTTGTTCGGGACTCAGCGGTGTTTGTGGATGTTACATATGTAAATAAATGATTTAAAACTGTGAAAGCTGCTTCAGGGGAAGTATCTTCAAAGTTTTGAGAAGATTGACTAATTCTGTCAGGGGGCAGATGGAGGAAAGACCTGTATTTCGAGAGCGGGGGGCATTTGAAAGATGCCAGTGAGATCCTTGGAGACTGCCACGTAAGCAAGAGGGGTGATTTTGCCAGCAAAGGTGGGGGGTCCGAAACGGCATGGTGGGTTCTGGAACTGATGCCATGAGAAAGAAGGCTGGTAAGATCCTTTGAGGCCAGATGGTGGAAAGCTGCTGTCAGAGCCCATGGTGGCTTATCTGACTGAAGATTTTGAGTTCTTTCTTTCTCTTGTGCGATGTGCTGCCATCGCTGGAGTCTCTCTGTGGCGGGTGTTGATGAAATGTCAGCAAGGGGGGCCCTGCGGTTCCTTGCGCGGTGCCTTGCCCCCGAGGTCAGTGTTTCAGTATTACTTACTGACACAAGGAGATACGATGATTATCACAGAGTTCTGGAGAAGAGGTCCTTTTCGGATCTGCAGACATGGGGGTAGGGACTGTGCGTGCCTGGTGGCGTCTGTCTGCCGACAGAGCGGTCAGATCAGCAGCTGCTTGACTCCGCAGTCATGTCCACACTGAGAGCCGCTGCCATGGGCTTTGACAAGCTCCTGGGCTGAGGAGAGGTGGAGAGTGGGGTCTATTCCCGCGAGTATCTTCTGTGAAAATGGTATCTGTTCAGTAATTACAGAAATATTTTTATGTTGTATAAATATGCATGTGATTAAATTCTCTAGTCAGTAGAAATGAAGACAAAGGAAGGTGCCTTATCTGTTTACTTACCATCATCTACCGAGTTGGGTGACATTGCCCTTGACTCCAGCCCATACTTCCTGCTGCCTTGTCACTGCCCTTTTCCCAGATGTCCCATGATCATAGAGCTCGTGGATGGGACTGCTGGTTGACCTCTCGGTTCCTCTGTGTTCTTTTATCTGAGGGCTAAGTCAAATCCAACCTACATACGAGAAGAGAGAATTCAAGGAAAGCATCTCCCTGCCCCCAACTTGTGATCCGCTGACCAACAGGTCAAGAATGTTTCCAAGTCCTTTTCCATGGTGTCGTGTCACTTTCTTGCCTTATTCCTGTCTTTGCCTCCTGATGAATCTACGGTAACATTCAGATGCATTCACATCTACTGCTAGACAAGGCTTTGTCTGTTATTAAACCTAAAAACCAAAAAACATGAGACTGAACCTTTTTTGGATATTGTAGGAACATAACTTAATCAAGTGCCTTTCTCCTATGGCCTAGACAGAAAGAGCTCCATAATTTTAAAAAATGTTGCTTCTCTTTTTCTTCTGGCATTTGTACCTCCCCCCCGCTTTAAAGCTTTTATATCGCAGACAGATTTACACATATACGAAAGAGGAGGGAACTGTGTCATGAACCTGCAAGTCCCAGCTTCAGTAGTAATCAACTTTGAGGCATATCTTGTATCATCTCTATCCCTGTTTACCTATCCTTCATTATTTTGAAGCAAATACCACACGTCCTATCATATAATCCATGAATATTTTAGCATATATTCCAAAAAGATGAAGGCTTTGTAAAACCATAGTACTTCTGTTATCATGCCTGATAATTCCTTAATATCCTCAAATAACTGATCAATATTCACATTTCCCTGAATATAACAAAACCTGTTAACACTTTGTTTTAATTGGGATCCACTACAGTTGTTGATAGGTCCCCTGAATTGCTTTGCATCTCTAGGTGCTCCTCAATTTTTTTTTTTCTCTCCTTGCAGTTCACTTATTGAAGAAACTGGGTCTGTGGTTCTCTTTAATTTCACACAGTGTGGCTTCTGCCATTTGCACCCTTATAGTGTGGTCTAACATCTCCCTCCCTCCTCTGTATTTCCTATGACTGTGGTGTTGTGTCTTAGAGATTTGTTCAGGATTCAGATCCAGTTGTTGGCAGGCATGCTTTTTAGGTGGCGGCGTGAACTTCTTTCAGGAGGCACGTAACGTTTACTTGTCTCTTTGTGATGGTTGATTGACTTCTTAAATGTGCCGAGTATTTAAGAGGGTTCACAACTGTTACTGTTTCCATGGGCCCAGGTGGTGGTCTTGAGAAAGGGGAAGAAAGAATGCCCTTGTGGTGTGCTCCCGGCGAAGTCTGACGATGGCGGGGGCTGGTAGGTCCTGTGTCCCTGGGCTGGGGTTCCTCCAGTGCTCGCTGGAAGATGAGTTGGTGTACATTTGACATAGAGCACTCCCAGAGTTTGTTTCCCTCAGTCCCAGAAGACCTGTTCACTCAAGAAACATTTAGCAAGGAGAGGCTCAATTTCTTTGGATGTTGCCTTTTGTATGTAGAGGTGTTTCTTGGTTTGGCTACATGAGCTGATGTTTTGCTGATGTTCTCCCGATGATGTGTTTTCATTTAATTGTAAGGTGACTCTCTTCTTCTTTCAGGATCTCATTTTGCCCAATGGTGGCACTCCTGCAGGTACTTCGAGTCCCGCTTCTTCATCTTCCCTTCTCAACAGACTTCAGCTTGATGATGACATCGATGGTGAGACCAGAGATCTCTTTGTCACCGTTGATGATCCCAAGAAGCATGTCTGTACGATGGAGACCTACATTACTTATAGGATCACCACCAAAGTAGGTCCCTTCATTATCTTCTGCCCCTGTGGAATGGTTTTGGTGAACTGGAGACCTGCTTTCATGATTCCTGCCTTCCTTTCTCCCTCCCTTTGTAGGACTGTGTTCACCTTCGTTCCAGTGGTGGATGTGGCTTTTTGAGAGCGCAAATGTATTCAGATGAAAAGGATTTGATGTGAATTTTTTGCTTTGAAATGACAGAGAAGTTGTGACTATAGTCTTTCAAGCATTTAATCCTGCTACCTTCACTTATTTTTGGTCATGATACTTTTTAGGCTGTTAGTATCACTTTACTATTGAAATTTATGAATGAATCTTTGTATCATCCTAAATGTCTGGTGGGACCATGGTTGTAATTTGGTGTAATTGGAGTGGATCATAGGGGAGGGACGTAAGAGAAGGATGGGAATGAAGATTGGTTGTCTTTCTGCTATGGGCCACGTGGGTAGTGGGCAGGGGCCTGAGATTGACCGGCTTAATGTTCACAGCAACCCTCAAAGATAGATCTTGTAGTTATAATTTTAGAGATGAGGAAACTGAAGCAGAAACTTTAAGTAACTTGTTCGTGGTTACAGGGTTGGTAACCAGGATTCTAACTTCAATTTTTAGGACTGTCAATCCAACATTTTTATTTTCAAACCCATACTCTTAAACCTAATTCCATTTTTTTTAAGATTTTTTTTTTAAGATTTTGTTTATTTATTTGACGGACAAAGATCACAAGTAGGCAGAGAGGCAGGCAGAGAGAGAGGGGAAAGCCGGCTCCCCGCTGAGCAGAGAGCCCGATGTGGGGCTCGATCCCAGGATCCTGGGATCATGACCTGAGCCAAAGGCAGAGGCTTTAATTCACTGAGCCACCTAGGTACCCCCTTTTTAAAGATTTTAAAGGTTTTTTAAAAAAAGATTTTATTTAGTTATTTGTCAGAGAGAGCGAGAGAGAGAGAGAGCGAGCACACAAGCAGGAGGAGCAGCAGGCAGAGGCAGGCTTCCTGGTGAGCCAGGAACCCAATGTAGGACACGATCCCAGGATCCTGGGATCATGACCTGAGCTAAGGCATGGTGGCTTTCATCTTACATGACAGCTTAACTTACTGAGCCACCCAGGCGTCCCATATACAATATCTTTTCTCTGTGGACATGTAAGCCTTTCTCAGATATTTCTTTGATATTCCTGCCCTCTCCTTTCTGCACCTGGTTCACATTTGAAAACTTGTCTCTGTATGTGTGCACACGCACGTGCGTGCACGCAGTCTTCCCCCATACCCCGGGCTGCTGGGTGCCTGCTGTTTCCAAGGCATTTGGCTAGGTGCTTAGAGGTATGTTAAATCTTCAGAGGTTCTAGGTTGATATATGTATTCCCATGAACTATTTCCACTCCTCTCCCGTCACCCCAGCCCCAGGGTCAACTTATTTTTTACCCTGTAGTCAGCGAAATGGAAAACCTGTTTTTCTTGAACTTATGCTCTAAACTGCTGAAGGACAAGGTCACTTCGTCCCTGGCACAGCAGCGCTTGCTCTCCTACACATGTTGCCCCCCTGCCTGACTCCACTGCCCTGTAGCAGACTTCCCCCACCTCCCGCAAGGCTAATCCTACAGGACCTCTGTTCTCCAGTCACAGGCCAACTGACTCGTGCGCTCTCCTGTGCTGCCTCTCTTTCCTTCTTTCCTTACTCTTTTCCCTTGGTGTTCTTGTTTCTGTCCCTTTTTCCTGGGGTCGATATCCTGTAAGTCAGAACTCTTCCAACTTCCAGTTCCAGGTTTCCTTCGGCTATGATGCCACTACCTCTTGGTGAACTTTTTGCAGAATTAAGTTTTACTTCTTACTGTCAATTCTATCTCAAACCAGAGTCCCTTTGTTTTCCCGTTGCAGGTAGCAACACCAGGTTTAAAATCTTGGTGGTGCATATGGAACCTTCTTTCTAAACACTGCATTAAAGCATAGCTATGCCCCATGTTGCAACACAGCCTGTGGGGTGTGGGGATGAGAGGGAGAGGACACACAGGAACGCAGGGTCTCACACACCAATCTTCCCCCGGGTTCTCCGCTTCTGCTGTGGTTCTCTAGTGAAGTTCATGGTCACAGGACGAGGTTGTACAAATAGTTTATAACTTTGAGCTCTGATTCCCCTGTCCTAATTCAGATTTCTGATGACCAAAGCTGGACAAAGTACAGAGCTGCTTTTCCCTGAACTAAAATGAACCTAAAGCATTCTCCACCCAAATCTAAGTCATGGGTGCCTTTCCTCTGCAGTGGTGGGGAACCCGGCCGGGAACTGCCCGGCCTTCTCAGTGCATGTGGATCCTGGCTCCTTTCTCTGCAGGCTCCTAGGAAGTGTCTTCATCATAATAACTAATTACTGACCACTTACCATCTGCTTGTACTTTTTGGTCATAGAAACTTTTTTCTTTATATAAGTAATATGTGCTTATTGCAGAGAAACTAGAAAACTCAAGGAAGCTGAAACAATAAAAGAATACCTATAAGCTCACCAGCCAGAAATAATCATTTATAAATTTCTGAACTGTTTGTCTCTGTCCATTTACAGAAATGAGTATTTTGTATGCTGCCCATTCCCTTCATGTGTTGGGCGTCTTTCTGGGCTAGTAAATGCCCAGAAATTATGTTATCATTTCTTTCTTTCTTTTTTTTTTTTTTAAGATTTATTTACTTGAGAGAAGGTAGGGGGGTGGGAGGGGCGGAGGGAGAGAGAGGATCTCAAGCAGACTCCCCATGGAGCATGGAGCCCAGCTGTGCTGTTGTCTTCTAAGACCGCAGCAGCGTCCTGCTCTGTGGATGAGCCATCAGTTTATTTTGTGCTTTAAACATATTGTCAGTTCGTCCTCATAATCAGGGAGGCGGGTATTGGTGGCACTTTTCCTTTGCAGATGAGGAAACTGAGAAAGTTACTCCAGGATATGCTGCTGATACGTGGCAGACCGAGGACTTGAGTCCAGATCTGTCTGTGCTGTACTTCCAACAAGGCATGATTTTCAAGAGCGGGATGGCTCTGCCCCGCTTGCCCCAGCACTGCGCTCGGTCTCCTACCCAGCCTTTAGGAGCCGTCCTCCTTCCTGTCTCTTACCCCATCTCCTTAGTGATCCCAAGTCTTAACACTCCAACTAACTCCTCTTTTTAGATTGCGTCCGTGGTCCACAGAGGCAAAAGACCACTCAGAGGTCAAGGATACACAAGGGTTACAAAGCGAACGTTTAGATTTGATGACAAGAGGGTTATGGGTGGCTGGCGGGCACACTCTCCCTGGAGAGGTGGGCAGAAGCCAGTGTGCTGTGGCAGAAAGACAGGGCATGAGTGTTGATGGTTTGGTAGTGAAGTGAGAACAGGAGCTAGAGAAAGTGGGGATTTGGGTTGTTGGGGGGCAATTTTGTTTGGTTTTAAGGATGGACGGGATTTGAGCGAATGCCCAGAGGCCCGTGTTAGGCCCGTGTTGCTAGAGAGGGAGACATTGAGGTGGGGCTGGAGAGGAGGATGGAAGCCGCTGAGCCGGGGAAGGAGCAGCCTGAGCCGGGGAGGGAGCAGGAGCCTCCGAAGGGGGAGGTGCTCTTCTTCCATTGTTTCTAGAGGAAGACGGGAAGTTTTGTCTTGCTCTGTTTTGTTCTCTGTGGCAGGAAGTTGAGGGTTCTGTGCTTCTCAATGCAGTTTTCTCTAGGAACCGCTGTTGAGGTCTTCCCCTAAGAGCGAACAGGAGGTTTTGAAGTAAAGCTGGGAGGTTTTCAAAACTTCTGCAGGTTCTGCATTAACAGATGCGGAAAAGGACGGAGAGAGTTGACGCCTGGCGCTGTTGAAGGTCCAGTGGGAGAGTTTGGTGTGTCAGTCAGTGTGTTTGCCTGTTTTGTTTTTCCTCCAGGAGTGTGCTCGCACACCCGGGGCTGGTAAAACAGGAAGTGCACGACTGCGTTTCTGCCAGTCGTGTGGACGGCAGGGGAGGGGATGTTTAGGATGTTGGCAAACGCGAGGTGGAAGTGATGGGTTATGGAATTGATGCTGAATAAGGAAAGAAGTAAAGATAGGACTGGACAGAGTGCCAAGGAACTGTAGGTCCCAAGAGGCTGAAAAACCAGGGGTCTTGGGAAGCGGGAGAGTCTGAGACACAGGAGGTGCTGGTTGGAGAGAGGGAGGTCTGACTCTCTGCTGATGACCGTCTGAGGGGAGGCAGTGGGAGCGATGGCTCGGAGGTGGGTGTTGTGGGTGCGAACACATAGATCTCGAGGGCACCCGGGCTATGGGTGGGCTTTGGAGAGGAAGCCCCTTTGGCACCAGAATCCTCTGGGAATCAGAAAGTGGTGGGGTGTCAGTAGATGACAGGTGTGCGAGGGACAGAGATAGAGGTGTCTGAGGCATGAGCCTCAGAAGGGTTTTCACAGGGCCGTGGAGGTGTGGAGGTGAGCAGCAGTGCAGAGTGAGCCGGGTACCAACAGGGACTCCTTGGTCTTGGAGGGCAGGGCGGAGTTGGTGAGACATGAGAAAAGGAGCAGCTTTCCACCTGCCGGGACAGCGGAGAGGTTCAAGACTCCAGGGGAGAGGAAGCATTCAGAATCTGAAGAACTACAGGAATTTACTAATTACAGAATGGGTGTTCTGGAAGGCTTGGTGTAAAGTTCCGAGAAAGGAAGCCCACAGGGGCATGAGGAGAGACCAGAAGCCTCCCTGGTCATTATTCTCAGGTGTTCTCGTAGGGTAGTAGTGTTCTGAAGCAGAATGAGAATAGCTGGCTAAGATTTGACAAGGGAAAAGGAGGTCCCTTTGCAGAAAAAGGGGCGGTCACTCCGACTCATAGGATTCAGTTGGCACTTCTGATGAAGACCAAATCTCTCTAGAGTGGACTGGTCGTAAATTTTAGGTTGAATGGAAATTCCTTGGAAGGGCTCCAGGCCACAGTAGTTAGGCATATCAGCTTCTGGGGAATTAGGGTTCTTCTGTGGTTAAGGTGCGACCCAATGGACAGGTGCTCTGCTGGCTGATTGATTGCCCTGTGGCTCTGTGCTAGGTCTTCTGAAGTGTTGAATTTACCCAGTGGAGATACTCATATGGAACAATGGCAAAAATGGATGTTCTTCGTTACGGCTGTTATGCTCAGTTACCAATTTGTAGATCTGACTTCGTGTGTACCCATGACCTTGTGATCTTGTGGGGCATTCTGGATTATGGATCATGGTGTGGAAGGACCCAGAACAAAACAGTGTAGTGATTGTCTCTGATTATGGAATCGTGGGTGTGCACTTTTCTCTTTTTATTGTTAATAGAAAATAGAGCTTTGCTTTATTTTCCTTACTCAGTTAGACCCTGAATTTCACAGAGGAAAAATTTACTACAGACTCATAGTTGGAGTTTTATTGGCCTGCGTATTTTATGAGTACTGTGAGTCTTGTAACAGACTGGGTTTCTCTCCAGAAATTCACAGTAATGTCTGTGGCCCAGTTTTAGCAAGTGTGCAGAATTCTATGGTGAGTGTCTTTTGCTAGCCTCATTCCTGGCTCTGCTTTTTCTCTCTGTCCTTGTTTTTTCTTGATCTTTCTCACCTACTTCTAATTTATGTCATTTAATCTTATTTCATGTGTCTCAGTATCTCTTCTAGAACAAATTGTGTAAAAGTAAACGAAACCAATTTTGGGCCAAAGAGTATGAGCATCCTTCATGGTTCATGATTTTTTTTTTCCTTATTGCTTTCCAAACAAATTTTTATTTAATCCATTGTGTCTGTAAAGGAGCTGTTAAAAATATTTTTTTTGTGTAACTATGAGTATTGTATGAGAATGGTAGAAAATTTGAAAATAAGCATAAGGCTAAAGAGGACAGTTTTCATTATGAGTTCTAGATTTTTCTTAACCTTTTATATCTACATTTTTAACATTAATGAAATTATATGTGCAATTAATTTCAAATCTTGCTGTTTTCTCTTAAAAGTATATCAAAGCATATTTAATATTAAAGATGCCTTATGGGGCTCCTGGGTGTCTCAGTCAGTTAAGCATCAGCCTTCAGCTCAGGTCATGATCCCAGGGTCCTGGGATGGGGCCCTGAGTCCAGTTTCTTGCTGGGCGGGTAGTCTCCTCCTCCTTTCTCTCTCTACCTGCTTGTGCACACTTGCTCTCTCTCTCTCTTTCTCTGTGTCAAATAAATAAAAATCTTTAAAAAAAAAAGATGTCTTATGACAAGATTACTGATAACCATGGAATAAATATAAGTTACCTGTTTTTATTGTTGAAGATTTAGATTGCTTTGATTCCTTTGCTATTTTAAATAGCATTGCAGCGAACATCATTATACAGATATCTTTGCCACAGTTTCAAAAGTATTTTCTAATGGCAGATCCCTAAAAGTAGAAGAGCAGTAATTAAAGATATAAGCAAATAAATGATAAATAAAGGAGAGAACACAGGTGAATATTTTTAAAAGTTTGCAAGGGGGACAGCATTCTTATCCATGACACCAAAAAAAAAAAAAAAAAGTGGGGGGGGGTGGAGAATGGCTGAATTAAAAAAGTATATACCTGGAAAACTCTTTGGAAATTATGATAGATAAATGGCTATAAAGAACCTCCACAAATGAAAAAGACTTTTAAAGACCATGAAAAGACAATTTAAAAAAGAGACCCATCACAAAAGAAGAAAAATCTATAGCTAACAAATATTTTAAAGGATGTTCAATCCCAGTAGAAATAAAACAAAGATGACATATTATTTTTCAGTTATAAGTCCATCAAAGATAATCACTGGTGATGAGAATATATGATAAGAATATAAGTTGATATATTTCTGGAAACAGACTGTTAATTAAAAATACATGTATCCTTGAGCACCTGGGTAGCTCAGTCAGTTAGACATCTGACTCCTGATTTTGGTTTGGGTTGTGGGATGGAGCTCAGACCTGTTGGGGTCTGTGCTGGGCATGGAGCCTACTTTAGACTCTCTCTCTCATCTCTCTCTCTCTCCCTCTTGCCACCACCTCCCCCCACTCACGTGTGTGTGTGCTCTCTCTCTCAAAAAGAAGAAATGAAAGCCATTAATAAATTATAAAGATCAGGAATTTTGTAAAACACACACACACACACTTTTATCTTTTATCCAGTAATTTCATCTTTAGGAGTTTGATTTTTATCAAACAGATGCCCAATGATGTTTACACAGCACTGTTTATTGATTGAAAGATTGACAACAACTTAAGTGAGGATTTGGTTTTGTTGTTTATCCACCCAGTGGAATACTATATATGTGTTAAAAATGATCATGTAGATATGAATTACTGACAGAAAGATACTTAAGAGCTGTTAGAGATTTAGAAAATATGAGCGAAGGAATGGATATACATAGAAAAAATACGGAAAGGTGTAAACATAGTATTCATAGTGTTTTTTCCCTATTTAGAGGGATTATGACTCATCTGTATTTTTTCTTCCTTTATTTTTCCTGAAGGGTTTTTTTTTTTTTTTTTAAGATTTTACTTATTTATTTATTGGAGAGAAAGGAGAGCACATGCACCAGTCGGGGGTGGGCGGGGCAGGGGGAGAAGGAGAGGGAGAATCTGGAGCTGACTCTGCACCAAGCTTGGAGCCCCATGCAGGGCTAGATCCCACGACCCGGAGATCATGACCCTGCGATCATGACCTTTGTTGAAACCAGGAGTCACATTCTTAACCGACTGAGCCACCCAGATGCCCCTTTCCTGAAGTTTTAAAATAAGTATGTCTGACCCGAATAAGTCGAAGGGGGGAGGAAAAGCCAGTTCCCCCAAAATAAGTGTCTTACAGCAGAAACAAACCTTGTATTTAATCCTCCCGCTCTTCGTAGTTACACATACCGATTTCAAGTTAGAAATGTTACATGAACTATAATTTACGAAGTGGATCTGCAAAAGCATAATAAAGAGAAGTGATCAGCTGATAACACGTAACATGAAGAAGGCAGAAAGGGGAGCCCTTGGTCAGGGCATTTACAGCGAAAATGAATGCATTCGTCACACGTCATCACTGGGCACGTCATCACTGGCAGGTCGTCAGCCAGAGCCTGTTGGGGGGCTCTGTGTGGTTTTGAAGAATGTGCCTTCCAGCCCTCTTCTTGCTGCTGAGAAAATCTAGGCTCTAGGAGGCTTAGTGTCTCAGGAATCTGGTAGGTGCTGGGACTGATCCTGCACGGGCTTCTCCTCACCCAGCCCTGGGAGGAGTGCCCTTCAAATTTACATCACCCTCATGCATGAAAATTCATCTGCCATGATTTGTTTTTTGAATTGAAACATTCTTTCTCCACCCCCCCCCCCAGTTCTGTAATGCTAATTCCTTTGGCGGGGGGTTCTTCTCATAAATCACAAATATTTAGGTTGAATGAATTTCCTCACTTTTTCCCACTCATACCCTTTATCATAGGGGAAGGTTGTACCTGGCTATAAAGGAGAAGAGATGCAGGAAGAGTTAACTGAGGTTCAATCTAAGACCGAGTCCTTTAACTTCCAAATTTTGCTTGGACTCTGTGAGCTCAGGTTTTGGGGAGATGAAATTGTAATTTTCAATGCCAAAGCTGCTCACAGCTTTTCCTTGATGAATGACTCTTGTTCATATGTTTTTGAGATTTTCTTGGTGTCATGGATTAAAATGGACTTTTGGCCTGAAAGAATAAATTCATAAAATGTAGCTTGAACCATTGTTATTTTGACCTTTCATTTCCAAGAGCTATGACTGTCATGCAGTCTCTACCCTTATAGGAAAAAACGGTTTAGCTAAAACACACTTTTAGTTTGGGCAAATTAATATGTAAAAATCTTGTCTTGGCATAAATTAATTTCATTTGATTTAACATTGGTTTTCATTATCAAAGTGCTACAATCACATTTCAGAAAACTTTAATTCAAGAAAAGGGATGATTGATGTAAAATATTAAATGCATGAGAGATGGGGGAAAAAAAGAAAAGGGAAGAGACTAATATTTTCCTGTAGTACAGTAACATTTTGGCATTATTTCCTTCTAGTTTTTTTTTCGTCACCCGAAATACAACCGTACTTCCAAGGTTATGGTTCTGCCAGAATATGGCCGATGAGGCAAATCCTTTTCTGTGTTCATCAGTCTGACTCCTAAACGAGCAGGTGCTCTCTTAGCTCTTTTTGTCTCCCTCTGCCTTTTGGTGAAACTTGGCAGCATATGTGGCAGAAGGTGGAGACTTAATTTCTTTTAAAAGATACCTGGATTGGGATTCAGTAGCAATATCCTCAGTGGAATTTTTCTGCTAAAAGAAATCCTCAAAGTTAAGCCTGGAGGAAATGAATCAAATGTTTCTAAACACATTCTGAGGGATAGTTAAATTCCATTTCCTAAGGGTAGAAAAAAAAACACACACAAAATCCTCAACATTTCCATTCTACATCCTTGACTTTTGAGCTGGGCCCTGGGGGCCTGGACTCACCATTTTGTATTGGTAATTGAAGTCTTTTGGCTGCTGTTTTGGTGGAAGGAAAGTGTGTTCTTGCCAGTTTGGTTACTCAAAGAGAGCGTTTTTCCTTCCTTTCTGCCAAGAGATGCTACTATTCCCTTATGCTTATTTTGTTCCATTCTTATTTGCAGAGTACGCGGGTGGAGTTTGACCTGCCGGAGTATTCTGTCCGTCGAAGGTACCAGGATTTTGACTGGCTGAGGAACAAACTGGAGGAGTCCCAGCCCACTCATCTCATTCCCGTAGGTACTAAGTCATGACAGCTTGTTCCTCTGTTTACCTGCGTCATCGCTCCTGAGGATGTTTGCTGGGCTCTCGCCCCTTACATGAGGGGCAGACTCTGCCTGACACTTTATACCGCATTTCCCCATCAAATGCACGTAAAACATTCTCATGGATGGTGTCTAACCTGTCTCAGCCTTGGGGTTTTGGTTTCTGGTTTGCTCTGATCATGCTGGTTTCTTGAACGGTGTGCGGGTAGGTTTTCACTTTCATTTTGACAGTTCTTTTTGAGGTAGGGAGAGTCCTAATTCTTATTTGCTGCCTCTTTAAAGACTGTTTCACCCTTCTAGATGCAGTTCTTGAGGGTTGGGTGGCTGCCACCAGATGAACAGCGATGCCTCAGATTACAGCTGGCGGGGCTTTCCTTAGACATGGCTGATTCAGGGAGCAGGAACCTCGCACACAACCCACCCAACCCCAGTTTTTCACTTAAAACACCAAAAGCCATCTAACTCCATTTATTGAAGCAGCATAATATTTTTCTGTTGCTTCTATCTACACATAAAAAAAAAAAAAAACAAAACAAAACCAGAACTGGAGCAAATAAAATTTAAAAGACTACGTAAACCAACATACATATTGAATGCTTTTCAGACTTTTTTTTTCCCCCAGTAGAAATAATAACTATTTTAGACCCCAGATGTTTCTTTGGGCTTTGGGGGCTTTGGGGCAGTTTAGGCCATAAAACTCTTCGGAGGGGCTCTATCTTTCAGTAAAAACCTTGGCTGAATAACTTCTTAGCACTTGCCAGTCTTTGTGTTACGAACGCGTGTCCCAGTGCTTCTCTCCCCCGGTTGGAAGACGGTGAATATACTGTGGTAGAAGTGACGGGGTTTGCCTACGGCGGCATTCTTTCCCGGAGGGAAGAAGCTCATCTTTGAACAGTTGGAACCGTTCCTTAAAATGGAGTCGCAGTTTGGCGACACTGGCAGCTGGTGAATTAAAAAAAAAAAAAAAATAGGCTTTTTATTTGAGAAGAGTTTGAGATTTCCAGAATTACTGCGAAGGTAGTGCAGTGAATTCTCGTATACCCTGCACCTGCTTTTGCTCGACATTTTACGTTCGTGTGGCACATTTGTCACAGTTAACGAACCAGCAGTGATGCCTTATTGTTGACTACCAGTCCTTTATTCAGATTTCCTCCGTTTCGCCTAATGCCCTCTTCCTGTTCTAGGGTCCCATCTAGGGTGTCACTTTGCATGTCTCCTTACTGGTCGTGATAGTTTCTCAGCCTTTCCTCGTTTTCGGTGACGGGCAGTTTCGAGGAGTACTCGTCAGGCATTTTGTAGAATGTCTCTCAGTTGAGATTTGTCTGATGTTTTTCTCATGATTAAACTGGAGTCGCGTGTTTTGGGAGGAGAAGTGCCGTTCTCCTCACATCATAAGAAAGGTGCAAGCTGTCAGCGGTATTTATCACTGTTGATGTTAACCTGGATCACCTTATTTGATGTAATGCTTGTTGGGTTTGTCCACCGTACGGTCCCTCTTCACTCCTGTTCCGTGCTGTACTGTTTGGAAGGAAGTTGTTGTTTATGCTTATTAGCCCGCACTGTGCACAAGGCGGGGGTTTACGCTCCACCTGCTGGCGGCTAGTGTGTTTGAAGTTTGGTTCGACAGCGACACCTGCTGGTTGTACTTACGCATGGACACCGAAACCAGAACTGAAAGAGGGTGGAAGGCTTCGGAATGTCGGGGAGTGATCCAGAGTAGCTTTAAGTATGGTTTCCTACAGTCAGGATGGAAGCAGTGAGTAGGAAGGTATTCTAGAAGCAAGTGGAGACATAAACTTATTCAATAAATTATTGGTACGTGTCTGGGGTGGAGAGAGATTTAACATAGGAGAGCATCTCTGACTCAGTGTGAAAGTGAAAGTGGAAAAAACTTTTTTTCTCCTTTAGAAATTATTCTGCAGCAACTTGGCTAGAAAGTATCTGTCTGTTAGTAAGCATGGACTTTGTGTTAGTCTTCATACTAGGCCTGGTGTGTACTCTTGGGGAGCTCAGGGGTCATGTGATGGACAAGGGACCCCTGCGTGGAAAGTTTATTTTCAGGTGGAGACCTAGTAGACATGCAACATAATTATTGTTTACATTTTCATTTCTTTATTAAAAAAACAGCTTTATTAAGATATAATTCATTCACCGCACAGTTTGTCCATTTAAAATAAATACACAAGTTAAGGACTTTTCGTATCTTTAGTGTCAATATTTAGTATATTAGTATGTACTATTTCCGTATATATATTTAGTATATAAGTATTTAATATATATATATATTTATGGAAGTATTTAATATATTTAGTATAGAGAGTTGTGCAACCATCAGCACAATCAATTTTAGAACCTTTTCTCACCCCCAAAAGTAACCTCCCACTCTTTGCTTGTCATTTCCAGACCTTCTATCTTTTTCAGCGCCTGGCAACCACTGATCTTTCTGTCTTTATAAATTTTCCTATTCTGGACATTTCATATAGAGTCCTACACTATATAATCTTTTGTGATTGGGTTTTTTTTCACTTGGCACAGTGTGTTCAAGTTTTTCGAGGTTAATCCGTGTTGTGGCACGTGTCAGTACTTTCGTTCCTTTTTCTTGTTAGATAATATCACGTTGTATGGATGTACCCCTTTTTGGTCTATCTGCTCGCATTTAATGGACGTTTGAATTGTTTTCACCTACTGGCTGTTCTGAGTAATGCGACTATGAACATCTACATGCAAATTTTTGCATAGTCCTCTGTTCTCATTTTTTCTTGAGTGTGTACACCCAGTAGTATCATTGACAGATTGTATGTACCTGTTTATTTAACCTTGTGAGAAACTGCCAGGCTGTTTTCCAAAGTGGCCACATCATTTTACCTTCCCACTGGCAGGGTATGAGGGTTCCAGTTTCTCCACGTCTTTATCAACACTGTGATTATCTACATCTTTGATTATAACCATCCCAGTGGGTGTGAAGTAGTATCTCACTGTGGTTTCGATTTGTGTCCCCCGACAGCTAATAATGATGAGCATTTTTTTTACATGCTTGTTGGCCGTCTGTCATCTTCCTTGGAGAACTATCTCTTCAGATCCTTTACGCTGGGTTGTCTTTTTGTTATTAGATCTTTATATAATCTAAATGTAAATCCCTTACTAGAGATACGACTTGCAAAAATTTTCCTCCCAGTTAATGAGTTGTCTCATTACTTTCTTGATGGTGTCTCTTGGAAGTACAAAGATTTTTAGTTTTGATGAATTCCAGTTTATCTTTTGTTTCTTTCTCTGCTTGTGCTTAAAGGTGTCCTATCTCATAAATCGTCACCTAGTTCTAGGTCGTGAAGATTTACACCTGTGCTTTCTTCTAAATTTTTTTAAAGATTTAATTTATTTATTTGACAGAGAGACAGATCACAAGTAGGCAGAGAGGCAGGCAGAGAGAGAGGGGGAAGCAGGCTCCCCTCTCTCTGCTGAGCAGAGAGCCCGAAGTGGAGCTCGATTCCAGGACGCTGGAATCATCACCTGAGCCGAAGGCAGAGGCTTTAACCCACTGAGCCACCCAAGCGTCCCCTAAATTTTTTTTTTTTTAACATTTTGTTTTCAAGTAGTCTCTACACCCAACGTGGGGCTTGAATTCATGACCCTGGAATCTAAAGTTGCTCGTTCCACCAACTGAACCAGCCAGGTGTCCCTCTTCTAAAATTTTTATACAGTTTTAGCCCACACATTTCAGCCTTTCATCCATTTTGAGTTCATTTTTGTACAGTAAGCTTTCCTTTCTTTAACCAGGGAGGCTGAATGTCGTCCCCTGAACTAATGGGACATTGGTGTTTCTTTTATGATTTACCTCTTCGTTTTCTCTTGTTTTTGTTTTGTCTTGTCTTGTTTTGCTTTGTAAAAACTCCATATCTGCAAAGGAAGTTGACCTGTATTTTTTATATTTAAATGTAGCATTTGTTCTGATGTGAGATGGGAGGACCATACTTTTTTCAGGTGGTAAGTTGTTGCAGAACCACTTACGAGTGATCAGTCATCTTTACCATCGTTTGTGCATCAGACCGAATCATGCATTAGACTTGTGTATTCCTGAACTGCCCCTGAACCCTTGGTGCGTCCGTCTTTCTAATCTGGGGGCCTTCCTACATGATTTGAATGACTGTAACTTCACAGAACATTTCAACATCCGGTTGTAAGGTCCCCGTCTCCATTCTCCACCTGCCAATATACTCTTGTTTCCAGAGCTTTTCTGGCTATTGGCACATGTTCTGTTTTTCAAGATGAACTTTAGAGTCTTTTGAATTAGTTGGAACATTTGGGAGAATGAATTCCTATTTCGTTGTGTTTGTTTATGTTATGTTGGTCACCACACAGTGTATCATTAGTTTTTGATGTCGTGTTCCGTGATTCATTGTTTGCATTATAACACCCAGTGCTCCATGCAATCTGTGCCCTCTTTAATAGCCATCATCGGGCTTTTGCCAACTCAAGTCAGCTGTGGTTAGAAGTATGTGAGGATTCCTGAGCTTTCAGATTCTGCTGCTGTCTTAGGAGTGTGGAATGAAGTGCCCCTCTGACCTGGGCTTCTGTGGAACCATGTCAAGTCCTAAGTGAACAGTCAGCCAGACTGTGGTTCCGGGAAGGAACCCACATTCTTTCATTTTCCTCTCCCCGATCGGCCATCCTGAGGCCTGTTTCCAGCCCCTGTGGCTCCGAACGTGGCAGCTTCTGGGGCTGTCCCGGGGAAACCCAGCCCCTGACTTCTAGACCACCCTTTCCTTTGCCTGAATAGAATCCCAAGGTGGTCAGTATGGCTTGACTTTTCTCTCTGTTCAGTCTTTTTGCCTTGCACCTTTCGCAGATTCTGGCCTCTTTGATATTTTCTGGGTGCTGCGGCACCGTGATGTTTTCTGGTGCTGCGGCATATATATGTTTTTCCTTTTTACATTGCTTCCTCGCTCTGTAATTTGAAAAGCAGAAATGCGCAT